CCACTTAACAATAAAGTTTTTAAATATACTTTTATATTGCAATAATTTCACATTCAATCTTCAAATTAATGTACAAACAACATGAAGACAGTATATTCTTATATTTGTTTAATGGCATCTTTTTTTTATGACCAGGCCAGTATCACTGATACCAATTAATACTGATTTCTCTATAAAAAAAATTCCCCCTAATATTTAACCATTGACTATTGCCATTTAACATTACATTATAATTAAGAGCTATCAATTTTAACATTTATTAGACTTTAAAAATAATTTCTAATTTAAGTGAACTTAAAACAATCTTCACATAAACCCATTATAATAAATGTCATATTTAGCTACCTGTGCCCCTCAGCAGAAATATACAGAAACTTAATAAAGTTATCAAACACTAAATTCTAGACTAAATACAGATGAATCCTTAAAGCTATAAAAGTTATTGATTTCCTATTTTTTTCTTTTGTTCTTGATGAACAGACATCACAGCAGCTGGTTATTAGCGTATTTGCCTGCTATTGCAAGAGCTGCAGCTGTTGAATGTGACGCAGATCTGACACACATTGTATTTTCTCTCAACTCTCTTTACCTTTTCTGACCCACTTCAGGTCGGACCCATTTCAGTCTCTTCTAATGAGCTGATGAGTTGAATCGAGTGTGTTAGATGAGGGAGACAGTGCTGGGCTGCTCCAGGACAGTTTTGAAAACCATTTCAGAGACATGTTCTTAAATGTGACTCATATAAAATATATTGTGCTACCCGCTCAGATTGTGCTACCTCCCATTAAAAAGATAGGTAGCACAAATCAATAGCGAAAAATGCTACCCATCAGATTGTGCTACCAGCATTTTATTCATGTGGTTTGAGGCTTTTTTAATGTCCATAACTACCCCTACCCTAAACCTACCCACCCATACTCTTACCCTAAATTTACCCTTAAAGCCACAATATGTAAGATTTTTTTATTAAAATATCCAAAAACAGGCCAGGCTTAAAATGCAATGCTCAAGTTTATAAAGTATGTAACAGGAGTCCTTGGCCTGGAAAAGGTTGAGGACCCCTGCAATAGAATATTTGTCAAGTAATTCCATTCTCCGCCCTCCATGTCTTTGCAGGTAATCGAATGCATCACACAAGGACGTGTGCTGGAGAGGCCACGGGTTTGTCCCAAGGAAGTGTACGACATTATGCTGGGATGCTGGCAGAGGGAACCACAGCAGAGGTTGAACATCAAAGACATCCAGAAAATTCTTTATGCCTTGGGCAAAGCCACACCTGTCTACCTGGATATCCTGGGCTAGTGTTTGTTGGGAATATGTGTGGATGTTTGTCTACGTCTATCCATCGGAGGAACGAACAACCTGGGATTTACCCAAAACAACACTGTCATACACCTACAACATGGGGATGGACTTAAGTGCCTGCTACTCCTTTCGATACACTGGATAACAGTCTTTAAAAAGCACTTTTACATTTTGTTTACCTGCATATAAAGATGTACAGTTCTACTGCAAGAAGAGGAGTCTCCTTTCTTTATTTCTTTCGTTTTTCTTTTCGTTTTGGAAAGAACAGCCTACTTTTAAACTCTAAAAAAGGAATAATGGAAAATTCCCCCTAGAATATGTAAAAAAAGTCTTTTTTTTTTCGTTTCCTGACTGCTTGACAACTCTCCCAGTAGTTACTTGTTTTTCATTTTATAAATATATATATTTTTAATTTATTTTTCTTTTTCCAAGTGTGGATGTATGCCATGTTTCTTGCTAAGGGTATATCGCCTTTTGGATATGACTGCTCACCGTTGCCATGTCAGATGATTGGCAAGGACTTTTTAAAAAAAAAAAGCCTTACTGCGCTCTGATTGGCCGGATCTTCTCTTTGACGCTACAGGAAGTATCCAACAGGGCTTTTAAATATTCTGAGGAGCTTTTTAGTGAATGGATTAACTTGAAGGAACCACCAATCAATACAAAGGAGTTTATTTAAAAAAAAAAACAAAAAAATAATGTATATAATGTAAATTTCTGTGTCACAAGCGACAGTATGTTAACTTATTTCATTTCCTGATTAGATGATTTTAGTTTTTCCTTGGCGTGCTGTTACGGTGAGTGAATTCTATAAATATTTTGATAATATTTTAATGTTTTTTATTTTTCCACATGTCCATAGAATGTATGTTGATATTTCTAAATTAGCTTTTTTTCATTTCCCCCCTTGTTCGTTTGGATGCAACCAAGAGCTAGAAAACGGTTAGCGTTTTCATGGTGGAACACACCACAAAGGGAAAATCATGAGACGTAGCCTCGCTCCTTGTATTCCAGAGACCATTTTCTTCTGAAATGAATGTAACAGAAAAGGTAGATTTATTTCCCAAAGCATTTTCATGCCCAGAAAATACTCATATTCCATTCATTAACCCTCATTGCATTTATGAATTGTGATTATGCTTCTTTGCAAACATATTATATCGTCCTTTCCCTTACTTTAAGTAATAAAAGAGAGATGGTTAAGCTATCTGGAAGAACTAGCATGTGCAAACTTTTAAAAATATATATTTATGTGCTAAATTCCATAAGAATCACTGTCCTTTCCTAGTTCAGTGACTCTTTCTTTACCACTTTCCTCTAAAAAAAAAAAAATATTATAGCTGCTAATGGAGTCATCAAAATATAATAGAAGAGAGTCCATAACAATGTTTTGGATTCTGTCAGGTAATACATATTCTTTTCTCCCCATTGTTTTACAATAAAAGACTGTCAACACAATCATGGGATAACTTAATTGTGTATTCAAGATGGAGCTTTCCTAAGACTAAAGGGCTTCTTTGGAACATTCTTCATTTATTCTGAAGTGACATTTGGATTTTATTGTAATGTGTTCTCTCGTTCACTCTCTCTTGCACAGTTTTGCTGGTTCATGCTTTTTATTCAAGGTGATCTGTGGCTCAGTGTTTGTCTGATGATAAATCTGTAATCACTGCACGAGGAGTAAATCAGCCAAGTAAACTTTAGTTTAACTTTGGCTGCAGATGTGTGCAAATGATTCTTGAGCATACAATCCGTGACATTTCAAAAATTCATCCTGAATTTTGCTTAACCCTCACACATATTAACAACGGAACATTAATATGAATTTCATGTGTATCCATGAGTGCTCACTTTGACTCTCACAACTTTATCCCAACCAAACTATTACCAAAAATGAAAATTGTCAAAAACTTTCCTGCTTTTCCCAGCTCCCTATCAGGAACCATGACTTAAATTGCTGTTCGAGGCAACCTGCCCATCACAGTTCGACAGAACACATTTGCGCTTAACCACAATCTCACCCTTCACATCAGGAAAAATTCATGGCGCAGAGGAATGACTTGAACATTTGTTGATCTTGTTGTGTTGTTTTTTTTTCTGCTTCCCACAGTGGCCAGATAATTCTCTCCACATCTATGACAAGGGGGAAATTGCAAAAGTCTTTCAATAACACCGCCAGCGATGTGCTTACGTGTGATAAGATGCTTCTCATTTTGATATTCTCGTCGGCTGCAGGGCCCTGCTGCAAATATTCACTGACTTCACAATTTTTCCCAAGCTTTCGTGCAGAAAAGTAACAGAGGAGATTTACCCTGGTATGGGTACCCAAATGCTTGCTAAAAAGGTTTGAGGTTTATTAAGTAAACAGTTGCACCTGCATCCCGGACGAGCCCCCAATTCGAGAATTAATTTCAAGCACAGTCCTCTTTACTGAATGTAATTTCTGCAAATCTTTCACTGATGTGGCATACCATATTTTACATGTCAATTGTAGTACACAGTGAGCATTCATGCTGAATTCGTTTCTAATTAGAAGGAAATGGACAAAATGTCACTTTTGGCAATGACGCCAATTCCCAGCTTTCCTGTAGAGAGACAAGACTTGGAGAATGCATGTGGGGATAATTTCAAAATAAGAAAATTATATGTTAACATGAACAGGCTATTATTTCTTTGGTCTTTGTTCAACCTATTTTCAGTGTGGGCAATTTTCTGTAAAAACCTTTCTTGCCCACTCAAATTTCTCTAATAAAATACTGGTTTATTCAAAAATTAAACATTATTATTATTAACACTAGTTGCAGTTTTTAGCAATTTTATATTCATTTTATCATTTGAACATTGTCTGGGCATTCATTTTATGACCGTCTTGTGAAACCAGGTTTATACCCTCATGCTTCTCACCATGTGTATGTTGCAACAAAATGCAACAAAACTGCATTTAGTTCCTACATGTTTCCCAGATGACTAAAGGTTGTGGCTCACTGTTGTGAATCGGTCGAGGCAGCGATTACAGAAGATTATTTGAGTCATTGGGTACATAACTGTGACTAACAGGGTTGAAAGAGTCAAACATTTCTCTGTGGTTTACTCGGTGAGACCGATCGTTGCTCAACGACCTGTGAAAGGTGGATTATACAAATGTGGCAAGGAGAGGTGGGGTGGCGTTAGCTGTGGGGAGGCTGTATCGTTATCACCTGAAGCCGTCGGAGAACAGGCGTGAACTGAATTAGTAATTTCTGTAAATGAAAGGACGTGAGCTTGTGAGCCACAGCTGGTTTGGAGAGGGGGATCAGACGAGAAACAGTGTGACAGCAGGGTGACGGTATGGCAGCTCCAGGGGTTGCTGTGACTCTAATGACTTCACCTTGCAGAAATGGGTGGAAATTACCAATGAAATGAGTTTTTGGCTGGGGCTTTTAGATATCCCTTAAATATGATGGCCAGTCTTTCGGTAATCCCCCTGAGGCAGAGAAGAGAAGTGTGTGTGGTTGTGTTGGTGTGTGTGAAAAAGCGAGGGGTAGGAGAGATGAATCAGTGAAGGTCACACACTAACAGAGTGGATAGAAGTGCCACAGCGCTGTCTGTTGGCAGGCTAACAGAGTTGAGTTAAGCATTCAGAGCTGTGAGGCAAGCAGAATCTCCCTCTCTCGCTTACCGCCGCCATGGCAGCGAACAGGTGCAGGGCGATTGATGAGAGGTTTAAAACCTTAATCATGAGGAGAAGAAGCGAGGCAGGAAGCTGGAACATTACGTCTGGAATGAGCTCTCTTTCAGCACTTCATAACCCTGCAGAAGGGCTGCAGAAACCCGGCACTGTCACGCTTCGCTGCTGATCTCAGATCAGCCCTCTCCTCATCCATTTATCCTACCTTCTGTGGGCTTGATTTACCAAAGCATTTAATGCATGCAAGACTGCCTTACTGGGGCAAATTGAAGAAGAACAAATATAATTGCCCAATCACCTGCTAAAATGTTGCTAAAATTGGATGCTGGCAAAACGTTTTAACACGTTATGTGTTAACTTTTTTACCCAAATTACTACCTTTGATATATTCCGTTTTGAGCACTCGGAGGCAATACTAATCCAAGCGTAGCTTCTTTAGAAATCAGTAACAACCCCATCAAATTAGCCGACCAGCTTTTAGAACTCATTTAGCACCCCGGCACTTGATGTGGCCACCTGGAGCAATAGTCTCCAAGAGATACAGTCACGCTGAATATCTTACTGATTGAATCTGTTATCCCAAATTGTTGTCGCTGCAGATCTTCAGCTGTCACTGTGGCTCACATAAAAAAATGCTATCCGTTTTTTGCCTGCAGGAAAAAATCATTTTCATTTCCTTCAAAACATTTAATTAAAGATACTTATCTGATTTGAAACCCCACTCCTAAATTACAAATGAAACTACCAGAACAAGTCCTTATCTACCTCCAGTGCATTGCCGCTTAAGTACTCTTAATGTACTCTGGAAAGAAGCAGTTCCAAACTTGCGGTCGATTCATGGCACGCTCTGCTGATGATATGAATAACAATGGTAATGTTTTTATACATCTGAAGTAGCTACATCCCTGAGAAAGGACCAGCTGCATTTTGAAAGCCTGACTCAGCTCACGCTGCAGTTGCTGTATACTCTGGGCACATGGACAAGCATGTGAATCTTGTTACTTAGAACCTAAAGCGATCTATAGTTTAGGCCGGCAGATCTCCTGAGCTGTGGGAAAAGCTGAACCCGCTTTCAAGGACAGTTGTGCATTTAACTCGGAAAGCCCGGCCAAATGCAACTCCGGTTTTCTTTAAAAGGGAGGTTAAAATTGACTGCGGCATTAAGACTTCAGATGGGGATGTCACCCCAGAGCAATCTCCTGCACTGTCAGCAGACTTTGACATCTAGATTAACCTTGCTGCTGTGAGCGTGCTGACGGCTCTCATTGGGATGCAAGAAGCATCTCGGATCTTCTATTCCAAATGTACCTTGGCCCCCTCTCTCCCTGTTTAAAAAAAAGGAAAGTAGGAAGCATGTGCCAGCACATACACACTGATCCAAGGGAGGTCCTTATGTGTGGGAGTGGATGTTATCGCTTTTGGAATGGAAATGTTGAACAAATGGTGATCTATCCCAGACTTCCCCGAGTTTTCCAGTCCACCAGCAAGCAAAAGATACACCAAAGGCCTAGGTGGATATCTTAAGTCTCTTTCAAGTCTTTTTCAACAGAACTGTTTTATTTCCTAATAGAGACTATGGCCCTTTGTTCCACAGAAGAATGTGTGTCAATCACAACAAAAGGGGAGTGAGCTCCTTTGAGCTCTTGCTCAGTCGCTAAAATGTATTATTCAACCTTGTTCTACTCTTTGGTCAACTGTGGGAGAAAGTTGTTTTACCA